ATTTCTATTGCGCATTACAATTGATAGAGCCTAGTATGATGTTTGCTCTATGTGTGTTACACGTGTGGGAATTCAAGAACTAAACCTTGTTGCTTAGTGAAACTGAAATGGAGCTTGGTGATACACCACCTCAAAACAGGGACATCTTGTCTTCTGGTTTCACCTTGGATAATGTTTGGCAAAGTGCTTCATTCCGATGGTCCCACTTAAAGCAAGGACAGATACAGAATAAGCCTGCAAATGGAATTATAAATATTAAAACCAGTGATATATAGCACTAGCCTCATTAGAAATAAATCACCTACCTCTGGCAAGTCATCTTTCTTCCAGAGAGCATAGCTTTCTTTTCATGTTTGAATTACATTTTATTCTTGGAAACCTCAAAACATTTGAAAAGATTCCTGTATATTCTCTGTTTTTAAGTAAGTCAATCAAATTCGCATAAAATGAGATATGTCATCCTCTGTTAAAACCCTTCTGTATTACATTCTACAAAGCTGCTTCTCATTACCCATTACATGCATATAAGAATTCAGTAACATTTTCTTTGCAGCATATGGATAAACCCTGATACAACCTTACTACAACTAAGAGCAGAAGACTGACCAGAGCTCTGCTCTGAACTTAAGTAACAAACAACAGCGGAAGGAATCATCACTTTTTAATTATATATACATAAAGATAGAAGTAAATTGTTTTAAAAGGAAAGCATAAAAATCTCCATTGCAGTTCTGCAGAACTGGAATGATGTGGAGATGTATTTTATTGAATATAATCACTTTCCTACATAGTTTGTTAATAACAGCTTTTAAGGCAAGAGTTTTTGTATAGTCTTTCCAGACTTGACAGCTATCATGCTGCAGAAACAATTACATCAGCACATTAAGGAAAACTCCAGTTGCTGTGAAATCAGCTTAAAATTTACAGTTTAGATAACAAAGAGAAGATTCAAATACAAGACAATTAACGTAGGAAGAGCAAACTGCATGCTTTGAAAAACAAATGATCCCTTTGTTGTAAATGGAATACAAAGCCTTTAAAACATATTCTGAGAAATAACTACTTAACACTCGATTTCCCTTGTCAAACCAGTCATGTTTGATTCTTGAGATTGTAACAGTACCACCAGCAACGTTCCCTGCAAAGATTAATCATGTGAAATTTATCATTTTTAGCACAAAGGTGCACTAGACAGTCAAAGCAATGGCTCAAAAGAAATCTGACTGCATTTTGAACAGGTTTAGTTTGGCATTAGTTGCATTAAGTCACCATTTAATGCACAGCAGAACCTCTCTTTCAACAGAAAACATGTCCTGACAAACTGTATTTTGTGCAGAAGCTTCCTTGGAAAATTGCAGATTTTGTTTTTCAGCATCCACCAAGAATTTTGTTTTGAATATGGAGGTATGTTAAAAAAACTGTCATCCGGAGAACATGTGTTTCCTTAGCACATTGGGTAAGAACACAAGAAAACAAAAGAAAAGCATTAAGTAGTGGCCTTAACTGTACTTGCTGATAATAAATTGCATAAAAGCTTTAACAATGACTTACATCTTACTTCTGCAGGCTAATGAGGATGTGTGCAGGTGATACCAAGGGTCATAGTCTGCCAGCTCCTCTTCATGCTGCACGTTGGAACCCAAAGTGACAAAAGATTACTTAAGAAAATATACAGCTACATAAGTAAAGAAAATAGTTCTTTAAGTGAGCAACAGTATTAATAAGATGTGGTTGTCTTTATATCTCTTGATTCATTTCAAATTCTTGATTGAAGATTTTCTTGCATGCAGTTACTTAGGTGCTCCCTGTCTCTTACAGTCTTCTACAGGCACAGTTGTAACTGTCCCTGTGCAAGGATTCTCCAATGTTTAGTTCACACCGGAATCATTTTTCTAACTGAGGTACTTACAGTACATTTCCTCCCCTAGTTTTATTTTAGTTCATCTGCTAGTAATCTTACCTCCTTTGCGATGCTTTTTCCGTGATAGATGTGTTGTATCTATAAATGGGCTCAGAACTTTTGAAGGACACAAATAATGAGGCAAGATAACTGTTAATTTAACTACCACGTCTGCAAGAAGAAATGTAGATCTACAAAGATTGCAATAACTCCTCTGTGGAAGTAGCTGCTTATTTTGGGTACACCTACAGAAGTAAATCGATGGATGGATGGATAGATAGATAGACAGACAGACAGACAGACATGATCTATTTTGAAAGCACTGTTGTGGATTGCATGGGACAATATCCTGAGCAGACACTGGCTGCCAACAGCTGTAGTTATTGGGAGAGGTGTTGAAGTTACGCCATTGTGTGTATGGCAATGAAACATTTTCAGCTATAAAAATAAAATCTCATGTGAAGGAGGAAACTAAAACCTTAGTCTGTGGAATTAACCGCCTAAGTCAGGGAATATGGGGAATTGCCCTGCTTTTGCCCAGGCTTTAGGGACAAGTATTTGTTAGGGCAACCTTTGTATTTCTTCCTAATGTTGTTGGCCATAAGCTTCACCAATCCCACACCTGAACTCTCTTCCACATATTTTAGCAAGGCTTGTGAAGTAACTTCCATGCCTTCAGACCTCTGGAGTCTTAGATAGCTCCACAGTTACATAGCTCCATATTCCCTGCAGTGTAGCAAATCTGACTGAACACAATTGGTGACTTCCCACTGCGTCACAGGCACCCAAATGTCTGCCTGACACTTGTAATGCTCACAGATCAAGTCTCTGTTCCCCTCACCAGAAAAACAAATCAGAACAAAGAATGCTTGAGTCATATTTCCTGCTGTTTAAAAGCTGTAATATCTCAAACATTGTTTAGAGAAAGCTGGTCTTCAAAGATGAGAAAGAGGCGAGATTGCTAGAAATTGTATTTTGCTGAAAAGACTCAGCTAAGATGTTGCTGAATGCAGGCCACCAAACAAATGCAAAATATGCCACTGCATGTGCTGTAAGGACATACCTAGGGATTCAAACATTTAAATAAATGTTTACTCTGTATCTTAAACAAAAAGATTGTGTGGCAATTGCTGGCTTAATGACAGAAAACAAGTTCTTCACCTTCTTCATTTTTATCAATCACTTGACCCACTAGAACCATGGCTGAAACTGTATTTTGCAGTGAAAAGATTCTGTAACTTTTGGACACAAATTTTTATAGTATTGCAGAAATTCTAGCTTTCTAATTTTAACAGTTATAACTTCAGTTATAACTGTTCTAAATGTTCTTCTGTCAATTACACTGAAATTCTTATTTGCCTAATACCAGACAGACATGAATAAGCACTACCATGAAATTACCTCTGAACTTAACTTTATCCATATGAATATATTCTTTCAAAAATTGATTTTAACAGGAACATTCAGATATGGAAATTTCTGCTCATGAGCAGGACCTCATTCTGGCTCTTCAGCTTCATTGAGACGTGTCAGGTTAAATAAGGATTAGAAAATGAAGAATGGTGAAAGAGAGCAATGAGGAGCTCAAAAAAGTCATTCAGGCCTCTCTGCAGTCTGTGTGTGGTACTGTGTAGGATCTCAGCACCCTGAGTCAGCTCTGTCACTATTAATGCTTCTTTAATGTATCTAAATATGTCAGGCAAGATCAGTGCTTAGAAAAGAAACCTCCTGGGATGTTTCAAGGTGTTAGAAGCTTTGCTGATTTAGTAAGTTGATAACAAAAGTGTTTCTGAAAAGGACAAGCAGTTTCTATGTCATGGTTCAAGGAGTGTCATCCAGGGAGGGCCCAGCATCAGGGCTACTCTAAACTCCAATATGAAATATAAGTAAGATATAGGCCAACTGCTCCCTGGGGTGCACCACGCGCCGGCTGAGTGAGAGGAGGGGTTGTCCTGATATGCTCTGCACTTACAGCACTGAGTGTGCGTTTGGGTGCCACTGTGTAAAATTAAATGATTAGAGAGCGTTTAAGGGACAGCTGCGAAGACAGTGAAGGCTCTGGAGGGCACGATATGTGAGGAGTAGCTAATGCCCCTTGGTGCACCCAGCGCAGAGCAGAGGAGCTGAGGGGAGCCCTCATGGCAGCTGCAGCTCCTCACAGGAGCAGAGGGCAGCGCTGAGCTCTGCTCTGTGTGACAGCGACAGCGCCTGAGAGAACGGCGTGGAGCTGTATGAGGAGAGGGCAGCTGGGGGTCAGGGAAAGGGGCTGCAGCACAGGGCAGTGGGCATGGAACGGACTGCACAGGGCAGTGGGCTCAGCCCTCAGCTGCTGGAGCATAAGGAGCATCCAGATATGTTCTCAGACCTAGGGCTTATATTTTGCATGGTGCTGTGTGGAGCCAGGAGTTGGGCTTGAGGATTCCTGTGGGTGCCTTCCAACTCAGGATATTCTAGCATCGTATTATTCTGACATGAAACATAACTAAGATGCAGTTTATGCTGCAGGCACGTCGATACAACTAAGTCATTTTGTGTGACAAAGTGCAGTTTTAGGTTTACAGAGCAATGGCAACAGGCATGGCAGTGGGAATAGGGCCTCAGGCAGTTGTTTGTAGCCCTCTTACACACATCAAGGGAAACATAGGATCAGACTTCAGTTTTTATTTTTTTGGGAAAACAGATGGCTTTTAAATTTGGAATTCTCAGAGAGTAATCAGTTTCTTTCTCCCCTTTCCCTCCCCCCGCCCCACCAAAGCTGACAGTCAAACATGTCCAGCACCACAAAAGCCCCACATGGTACTTTATCAGTAAGTGATCGGGGCGAGCAGGGCACTGCGAACAGCCCGTCGCCGAGCACAGGCCCAGCCACCTCCAGGCGCCCGCCATTCCGCGCAGCGTTGCCCTGAGGCAGTTCCGCTTTTGCCGCGGCAGGGAGGCATCTGCAGAGAGCTCAGCGCCGCGCCTCGCGCAGGCGGGGCCACGGCCCGGGCGGGGCGGGGAGAGGCGCTGCGTGAGGGAGGAGCGGGCGGCGCGGCGCGGCCCGGGCAGGAAGCGCTCGTCGGCTGCTCCGCTGCCTTTGCGGGAGCTGCTGTGCGGGGAGCCGCGGCGGCCGGCCCGGCCCGTGCGCGGGGTATGCGCCGGCTGGAGGAGGACGAGTGAAGGGCCGCGACTCTTCGTCTCCTCCCTAGTTTTGCTGTCGGGGCTGCCGGAGGAGCCGGGAGGAAGATGGAGCCGTTCCCCAGCGGTGAGTGCGGCCGCCATCCCCGCGAAGGCGGGCAGCGGCCGGGCAGCGCTTCCCGAAGGGGAGCGGGCAGGCCTCGTGGCCGTGACCCCTGCGCGGAATTCGGAGACTTCGTGGGGCCTCGCTTGTGTTTGGCTTGACCACGGGCGTTACGGGGGCGAGAGGAGCTCTCTCGCCTTCTCATCACTCTGAGGCGCGACGTTGCCTGGCTGTAACCCCAGGGAGGAGGTGAGAGGCGGGCGCTGCCCGCTGTGCTCTCAGCACCCGGTGCCTTGGGCCCTCCCCGTGCCCGGCACACTGCGTGGTTTAAAATGCACGGGTTAGCAGGTAGACTTCAGGGCTTGTTCTGTTGGTTTAACCAGCAACGTCCACCTTTATCTGTGTGTTTTAATGATACTTCAGTGGAGGATGTGTTTTGCTATGTTTGCACTTCGTTCAAGCTGTTGGTGTTTTTGTACTTAGCCTTAGCAGAAGGCCATTCAAGTTCAGCTAACTGTTATCACAGTTATAACACCTGCTGCTGTATTCGCTGTAAAGAGACTATGTCTGTAATTGCATTGTTTGTTTAAGTCGACGTGGGGAGTCTTCTCCTGTTAGGAGAGGCAGCCATCGTGCTGCTGTCACTTGAGCAGTGGTTTGAAATAATGGTGTGACTGTATTGTGCAACAAGACATTGAAACTTCTGCTCTTCGTCTGTGAAACTGGAAGAAGTGGCGCTTAGGACCCAGTACACAGTTCAAAACAGTTTCTGTTACCGCTGACCCAGATCCCTGCAGTGAAAACCAGTGCCCCAGGGTGGTGGTGAGACTGCTGGGAGAAAACAGACTTCCTGCAGGAGGGGCTGCTTAAGAGTGTGCAGAGACCAAAGCAGAGCAGTTGATCCTCTGGTGATCTTCGGGTGTCTGGTACCCAACTGCTAAATCCTGAAGTGAATTGCAGGCCTACAGGCTTGGTTTTTAAGTAGAACGTTTCCTGGCTGGTGGTCTGGAATGCAGATTTGTCAGCTTCATATCTCAAATAAACCATGTTCCACAGTAACCGGGGAGGTTTTTGGTTCTCACTTACATGGTGGTAATGACTTCTGTTTGTGAATCTGTAGGCTGGTTTCCTGTGCAAGGTACTGTTTGAGCTCAGAAGATGGTTATCACAGGAAGCTCAGAATGATCTTGAGCCCTTTGCAGCTTTTCTTCATGTTAAACAGAGGGATTGGATCGAGTCTTAAGGTTTTCAGAGAGCATTTTGGTTGGATTCAGGATGCTGATGCTTGTATGCCAAAATGCCGAGAAGTCTGTTCCTGCTTTTACTTTACAGATGTTGAGCTGCTTTGAGAAGGGTTGCGTATCTTAAAACAGGATTTTAAGGCAGCACATGCACTGAAGTGGAAATGGCAGATCACCATTTTCCTAATCCAAGTGTAATCGGTAATCATAAAGAAAATCATAGCCGTAATTCATCTGAAAAGTCAAGGCAGACCGTGGTTGTTTTGTCTGAATGCTAGAGGATGTGCTGAATTTCTCTTGTATGCACATTCTCCCTTGTGGAAATACTCAGACAACTTAAATAAAATATGTATCGGGTGCCTTCTTTTGTTTCACCGTGCCAAGTGTGATTAAAAGTGCACGGAAGTCTTGTGGCATGTAAAATTTTTTTTCTGTGTGATCTCAAATCCCCCTAAACTGGGGACTGTAAATTAATTACCAGAATTAATTATTTAATTTTGACTAGTTATTTGTTACCTAGACTTCTCTCTCTCTTTCTCTCTCTCTTTCTCTCTCTCTTTCTCTCTCTCTTTCTCTCTGTGGAAAAATGAAATGTTTGCATTGATAACAAATGACATTCTGACTGACTGGAATGTGTTATGTAATTTGGGGTAGGTTGTGAACAATATTGCAAAATATTTTGCAAGTTTTTGTTTTTACTTTTAGATTGTATGTATTTCTAGAAGATTATTTCACCATTTCCTGTTTAATACGCAGAGCATTAAACTTTTTTCTACCCATTTGACATGGAAGGAAAATGCAGAAATGAGAGATTGCAGTGTTTCACGCTCAGGACAGGTGATGCGCAAAAATAAGGAAGTACAGAAGGAATGATTTGTGATGATATGTGAAAAGGCAGATAACAATCCCTTTTATTAACTTTTGTGAGTTCTGTAGGCATTTTTAATGCAACACATGGAAGCTCTGGAATGAAATCTAGTTGCATAGCTGGACTGATTTTCTTTCCCCCCCCGTCTCCAGCCCCCCCAATGATAGTGGAAAAAAAAGTTCACATAGGAGGAAAAGTTGTGCTTTTGTAGGGGATAAAAACAAGCCATGCTACATTGTGAGATAATTTGTGAAACAATGCAATTTGCGAAATTTATTTCAGCAATTTTTTATTCCTTTAAATTCTGAAATAGTTGTTTTTTTTGTTTGTTTTAGTGGTGTAGGTCTAGAAGCAGGTGTAGGTCTAGATTGCAGGGGATTGCAGGAGCTATGAGTGTAGCCCAGGTGTGGGTGTGCCATGCTTCCCCTTAACTGTCAGTATCGTATCCCCATCTGTCATGGACACAAGAGGTTCCTGTGTTTTCATCTGCGTTTTTGGTCCTAAACAGCAGAGTGAGTAATCTGTGGTAGTAGGATGGTGGATGGTAAAAATCTTAAGGGGTTTGTTTTCAGTGTTTTTTTTCCTCCTATGTTGTAATATCCCAATATTTTGCTTTAACCAGATATTACTGACAGGAAAAAGTTGTTAATTCGTCTCTTTGTTTCTACATTGTCTTACATTGTCAAAATGCATATTGCTAGACGGTATTTTTCCTCGAAGCCCTGTTGTAACATCTGTGGCTTTTGTTCCTGTGTCAGCTGTGCTAAACAAGAACCTTTTCTCAATGGGATGTGTTTGTTTGCTTTTTCTGCACTTCGTGAACTCTGTCTGGCACTGAATGCTCTGAAACTGCTGTGGTCTGTGTAGCAAAGAGAGATCGTCCCTGCATCCATGTATGTACACAGAGCTTGTGTGCTCTTTTCTGCAGGCACTGTAACCTACAAGCTTGGGACTGGATGCATTGCATTAGCAACATAACCTGAACAGGGTGATCCAGCACCTGTTGCAGGTAGAAAGGTGACATGATGGCAGAACAATGAGGGGAAGAGAAAGAACTTTACCTGCTTGAAGTGTTCCATTTGACGAGAGCAAACATTGCCACTTGGAAAGGGGCTGGAAGTCTCGTGCTCTGTTAAAACAATGTCAGAAGATCAGAGTGTAAATGTTAGTCATGGGTCCTGCTGGTACCTTTTCACTGAGGAGGTGGGTTCCTCTTGCAGGATGAATGGAGCCACTGAACATCTGTGGCACACATAGTGAGGCATAAGTGTTGAAAACTTACTGACCTCAGTACCTGCCATCTGGAAAATTATTGCAGGACTCTCTTCTTGTCTTCTTCTAGTGAGATGGTGTGTCTGGTGAGATGTGCATAGTGCAGCAGCCGTGTTTGGTACTTGAGAAGCTGTATGCATGTGCACTAGATGAAGTCCTTTAATGACAGCTATGTAAAGAGTTGAAACCTAATAAAGGCTACTATAAAGTCTGCTAATGAACTAAACAAACAGCTTAAAATAAAATCTGTTGATTAGCTAACCAAGCAGCTAATCAGCTTTTTCATATTAAATGGCATTATTATAACAATTACCTACTAAGAAGCCAAATTTACCTCCATTTAGTGTACGTCTCTGTTTCTTGTAAGGATGAGTTGCGCTGAATTCAGTCGAACAAAGTTTTCCTCCTTCACACAGTGATCTGAGTGAAGGAAGTGTAGTGAGTTTCCAGTCTACTGGACAATATTTTTCTTTTATTAAGTACAATAGGAGAGATCATGCAAAACAAAAATGTTAAGACTTCTTTGAGTGAAAGCAGTATTATTCCTCTGGCTGTGAGAGAAATTTGTAAGCAGATATTGCATAGACTTTTGTCCAGCAATACTTTAAAATAAAATCAAATTAACTTGTAAAACACCAGCATTTTTGTGAGCTGGGACTCATGTCTTTCAGAGCATTTCTTAAGAGTTGTACTTACTAATATCTGCATTTTTACTATTTTTGCTACTGCTTTAAATAGTAAAGGTGTGTTGACCTTAAACAGAAGAATTGCAGAAAGTTTTTGTTCTTTGTAGCCAGGAAGAATGGATGGGAGAAAGCAGTGGGTGGGGAGCAGCCCCGGAGACCTCATCCATTTGATATCAGAGGTAGGAATTTCAGAGTGCTGCTCTGCCCACCACCTGAGGCACCACCGGGGCTGCAGCCTATCCTGAGTGTTGTCTCAGCCCAGAGTTCAAATAAGATCCCAGTGCTGCTGCTGGTTCAGGCTTTGTGTTCATGTACTGCTGCCTTGGCCTTCAGCACAGCTGAGCAGACGGGAGTCTGAATTCATCAGAGATCTGAGATGCCTTTTACTGTTTTGCTTGTTATTGGGGAGTTAGATGGTTGAGTGTTCATTTTTCCCATAAAAGCTCCACTGTTTGGAAGATTTCACTCTTCTGCAGTGAGTGTAGTTGTGTGCAGAGTTGCTCTTTGATGCTATGGGAGTTGGTTCTGCAAACACTCCAGCCCACAGGTGACTTTTTCTCCAGTGCCTCTGACTGCAAAGGGAACTACCTGTGCTGAACACTAGGAATGTACCTCATTTACTGGCTGCTCTGGCGCCAGATGCTGTATTGTATTTCAGCCTTTCTTCTATTTAAGATCTGACACTTGAAAACAATTTTTTTCTGCTGTAATAATGAATTGTTAATATATCAACAATCACTTGTGACTGTTTTTCATGTACGTGAAGCAGTCTTTCCAGATCAGCCAGCCTTGTGTTTGTGGGAGTCTTAAAAGCTTCAGAATACTTAAAAGACTCGTTGCTTCTGAGCTGTAAGCTTTGGCAGATAAAGGAAAGACAAAAAGTAGTTCCCCAGAAAATGGAACTGTGAATATGGAATGTGTGAGCTGTCAGTTTTATTACCCAACTTAGTCACTTAC